GGCAGACGCTGAAGCTCGCGCTGGCCGCCGAGTCCGCCTGGCTCGCCGAGCTCTTCGGGGCGCACCGCTTGGGGCGCAGCTGCAGGTCACGAAAGGAAAAAGGTACCCATACCTCTACCCTTCAGTCGGGCGCGTCCCTCTACAGGAGGAGTGTTCGAAAATAATCCAGACATGCTCTGGGGATGATTTTTGCACTATGTTTGACGAGTTTCGATATTTTTCAAATCTTCGTCCAAAATCAGCCTGTATGGGGGACATGCCCGACCTACCTCTACCCTTCCCCCCCCGCTCTCCCCCTCGGGAGCCTCCGGGGCGGCCCTCGTTGCCGCCGCCGGCTCCGCCCCGAAATCCTGGCCAGACCGCGCCCCCGGAGAGGTCCGATGGGGCAGCGGCACCGGTGCCCTTTTGGGTCCCTTCCCCCGCAGGGACACCAGCCGCGAGGCGAGCAGCGCCGTCCTGGACCAGCTGGACCCCGCGGGGGGAGGAGCTCCACGGCAGGTTCGCGTCGTGTCGACCGGCGGCGGCCCCGTCGCCAGCGTTCGGGACCTAAGAGACGGGGGTCAGTGCAAACGGGGGTCAGCCGGGGCACCAGATCCTGCAGGATCCTGCGAAGACCTCTGGCTGACCCGGGTTTGCGAGCCGCTCGTGGCCACAAGGCGGCCGCGCGTATTGGCTGACCCGGGTTTGCGAAGACCTGCGTTGCAGTTTTTTTGTCCTGCATAGCAGTTTTTTGGTTTCCTGCTGACCCGGGTCTGGATTGACCCGGGTCAGAAGATCCCCGAGGCGTTCCACCCAGAGCCCGGGCGTCGTGATCTTTCACTGCGTCGACCCCCAGAGGTCTGGACCCCCTTCCCCGGGACCGGTTTCTCGTCCCGAGTCGTGTTCTGATGGTCCCAGGGCCAGGCATCAGGGCCCCCAGAGGCCGAATCACAGCGAAGGCCCTTCCGCCGTGATTTTTTCACGACGCGAGGAGGTCTGGGCACGTTGAACGCCGGCGGCGGCCCAGAATTGGTGTTGAACGATCTGACGTTTCAGAAACGGCCAAAGGTTCAAGGTTGAACGATCCCCGCGGCGTCAGGAGCCGTCGCTGGGGTCGGCACGACGCGAACCCGTCGAAGGAAAATTTATGGCGTCGCGCAATGGGGGGGCGATAGATGGCGTGGTGCAGAAGGGTGCACCTCCTGCGCACCGCATGGGGCCCAGAAGGGGCCCCCCTGGGGCCCAACAGGGACGCGACAGTGGTTGCACATTTCTGCGCCCCCCTGTCTGTCGCTCCCAGCACGCGAGGCCCAAGCACTCGAAGAAGAAGAGGAAAAAGAACAAGAAGAAGAAGAAGAAGAAGAAGAGGAAGAAGACGAACTGGCATGCACATCGCACTGCTTTGCACCGCGCGGCTTTCGTGCATCGGCGCCTCCCGCGGAGGCGGGCGTGCCCCCGAGCCCGCGCGACCCGAGCCGGCCGCCCGAGCCGTCCCCTCCGCGTGCTGTGGCTGCCGGGCCCGGGGCTCAGGTCGACTCCTCCGCGGCGGCTCGGCTCGCTCTCGGTGGCCTCCGTCCGATGCCGATGCGGTCCGACGTCGGATTCCGGTGCGGATTTTTCGAATTTTCGTCCATGGAGGTCTACTGGCCCGTCGATCTCCGCCAGTTCGACTTCTCCCGTCTCGGGCTGCCGATTTCCGCCGATCCGTTTCATTTCGATCGTGGCTGCTGGGCCTCAGTTCAAGCAGTGGCGAAGCGTCCCGGCTCGCCTATAGGCCCACCGAGGAATGTTCGAATAGCCTTTTGTGGTCTTCGCGAAATCTTCTTAGAGCGTTTCGGGCCGAGACAGCACTGCTTTTCTTTCGTGAAAAACACGTCGGGCTTACGTTCTGGGAGCATTGCTTTGTGCTCGGCACATTTTTGGGTTTGAGAGCATGTCTTGGTGGGCCTACAGGAATACCGGGACGGTCGGTCCCTGCTCAACTCTTCATTCTGTGGTTGCTGGGCCTCAGTTGCCAAGCATCGGAGGAGAAACCGACCAGACCCCCTCGCGCTGTGAACAAAAATCACGGCGGGAGGTTTTTCAGGAGAGCCAGGAATCGGTTCAGGGGAATGGGCCGAGACTTCTGGGGGCCAGCGTCGTGGAAAATCATGACGTCGGGGGTCTGGGATGGACACGCTGCGTGAGCGCCAACTCTGTCTGTGCGTGCTCGATGAGGGCCTCAGCGCCTCACGGCCGCGGCCGAGGGCCACAGCAGGAGGCTGCACACGGACGACAAGATGTGAAGAGGGGGGACGGGGGGGAGGAGGGAGGATCGAGGGAGAAGTGGCGGCAACGGCATACGACAACAACGGCTACGACTTCTACGACGACTACCATGTATTATAACCATCACTACTACGACGACTACTACTACGGTTACTACTACGACATCAGCTACTACTACTACTACTACTACTACTACTACTACTACTACTACTACTACTACTAGTACGACTACGACTTCTACAGTTGCTGATCTTATCATTACAAGTATTACAAGTACCTTTACGACTAGTAGTGCTACTACTATAGGTACTACTACTACTACTACTACTACTACTACTACTACTACTACGGCTACTACTCCTACGTCTACTACTACTACTACTACTACTACTACTACTACTACTACTACTACTACTAAATGTACTACTACTACTACTACTACTACTACTACTACTACTATTACTCCTACTACTACTAGTACTACTGCCACTGCTACTACTACTACTACTACTATTACTGTACTATTACTAGTACTACTACGTTTTACTTACTACTAGTACTACTACTATCACCTACTATCTACTACTACTACTACTACTACTACTACTACTACTACTACTACTACTACTACTACTACTACTACTACACTACTACTACTCACTACTGCTACTGCTACTACTACGCCTACTACTACTACTACTTACTACGACTACTACTACTACTGAATAACTACTACTACTACTACTTACTACTACTACTTCAGCCACGACGACGACGACGACGACTACTACTACTACTACTACTACTACTTACTACTACTACGACTACTACTACTACTACTACTACTACTACTACTACTACTACTACTACTACTACTACTACTACTACTACTACTACTACTACTACTACTACTACTACTACTACTACTACTACTACTACTACTACTACTACTACTACTACTACTACTACTACTACTACTACTACTACTACTACTACTACTACTACTACTACTACTACTACTGCTGCTACTACTACTACTACTACTACTACTACTACTACTACTACTACTACTACTACTACTACTACTACTACTACTACTACTACTACTACTACTACTACTACTACTACTACTACTACTACTACTACTACTACTACTACTACTACTACTACTACTACTACTACTACTACTACTACTACTACTACTACTACTACTACTACTACTACTACTACTACTACTACTACTACTACTACTACTACTACTACTACTACTACTACTACTACTACTACTACTACTACTACTACTACTACTACTACTACTACTACTACTACTACTACTACTACTACTACTACTACCTCTACTACTGCTTCTACTGCTACTACTAGTATTACTACGCGGGGCGCCTACGAGGCTCGGGGTCCGCCTCGACCAAGGTCCTGAGGCTTGGCGCTGCCGAGCCTCAGATTTTTGGTCATGGCGCCGTGGGGCGCCCGCAGGGCACGGAGGGCCGCCTTGACACAAATCCAGAGGTTTGGCGCTGCCCAGCAAGCTTTTTTTGTCATGGCGCCATGGGGCGCCCACGAGGCACGGGAAGGGGTGCCGTGGTCTGTGGTCCTCCTTTTTTTCCTCCTCTTGCTCCTCCTCCCCCCCTCCTCCTCCTCCTCCTCGTCCTCCTCCCCTCCTCCTCCTCCTTCTCCTCCTCCTCCTCCTCCTCCTCCTCCCCTCCTCCTCCTCCTCTTCCTCCTGTTCCTCATCTCCTTCTTAATCATCCGAACGCAATCGCATTCAGGCAGAACGGGTAAGATCGAGAGGCATGGCGAGAGTTAGCTCCAGATTTCACCGTTTGGGCGAGCGCGCTGTGATCTGGACAGAGCCTTGCTCGGATTGCACTGTAGCACGAGGTCTGGCCCCCCGCGGGCCTAGCCAAGCCATGCTTCACCCTTCATCGCCCTCCTGCTCCCCCTCCCGCTCGCCCCACGCCCTCCTCCCCTCCTCCCTCCCCCCAACGCCTCCAGGTGAAAGCCCGTCCACAGGGGAGGCGGCCTGCGTCCTGGGCCCAAAGTGGTACGCCCAGGATTAAACCTACAGTGGGAGCCCATGCCATGCCAAGAACCATCCTGCGGGTTTCTTGAGTTTCGATTCTTTTGCTGAGGCAATCCTGACGTTCCCACACAACAAATCAGTGGACGTCCTGGGGTCTCAGGGTTGGGTTTCCTATGGAAGGTCTCTTGTGGTCGGGCCCCTACTATACGCCGAGCTGGCGTCGCACGCCTTTGCCCACCATCCAGCCCCGCCCAAGCCCCAGGACCACGCGTCCCGTGCGCGGCGGCTCCTCGGCGGCGGGGTCGTGTCGCGCGGGGTCTGCCTGCGCGTCGAGGAGCTGACTGGGGAGCGCGGCGATGTCATCCGGCCAGCCTGGCGGCCTGTTCCTTCCGCCGCCCCGGCGCCCGGCGGAGGCCGCCTCGGCGGCGGCTCTTTTCCTCGTCCTCGCCCTCCTCCTCGCCCCCTCTCGAAGTCGCCGCCCGCCAAACCACCCCGACCCAACCCGAAGGCCCCGGTTTGCCCTCCAGTTCCAGTCGGGGGGGGGTCGGGGAGCGTGGAACAAAAACATGCGAAGCCCATTACCCTCCCAACCCGAAATTCGGGTCTTCGGGTTGGGTTTTAGGCAGTCACGAAGAACAAACAGCTCTGTAGACATGCTTCCTCGGAGCCCCGCGCGAAGTCCTTGGATCTGCGCAGGAGCCCCCTGGTGGCGCCTTGAGCGCCGCTCCTGGTGCGCTCCGGGCGACATGGAAGGGGGGCCTGGCGCAGATCCACAGTGTATGTTCATGCAGTTTTTCCTCGTGCCATCCACGTGGGAGGATGAGAGAGAAGGAGGGAGGGGTAAGAGGAGGGGGATGGAGGGAAGGAAGGGAAGACATACACAAGTGCATGCAGACGTGATGACCGACAGGGAGTCTGGCAGACATCGATGAAGAGAAGCATACCGAAGCACTGAACTTACGCTACCGAGGAACCCCGCATACTTATAACATGTCTGGCGTGATGATAGCTGAAGTGAAACATGCGAAAATGTTGCTGGTGGCCTTTGCCCCGCTGGTGCCGTTGGTGACGCCTGTCAAGCCTTGCCAATGACGGTGGCAATGATGATGATGATGATGATGATGATGATGATGATGATGATGATGATGATGATGCTGATGCTGATGCTGATGCTGATGCTGATGCTGATGCTGATGCTGATGCTGATGCTGATTATGCTGCTGCTGCTGCTGATGATGATGATGATGATGATGATGATGATGATGGCAATGATGATGACGATGGTGCTGGAGAAAATGCTGAATCACGCGCGCGCAAACATTTGACGAGCGCAGGGGCCATCCCCTGCGCACCCTCGGTGGTGCGGTGAAAGTGCCACGCTTGTCGCACTTTGCGACCCTGGGACTGATAGAGACCACGGAGAGGAACCACCCCTTACGCACCCCCTGTGGTGTGGAGAAAATGCCACGCCTGCCACGCCCCACGACCCTGGGACGGATAGAGACCGCGGTGAGGGACCACCCGTTGCGCACCCCTTGTGGTGTGGAGTGCCGCGCCCGCCACGCCCCCGCGACATTGGGACGGATAGAGACGACGGAGGGGGACCACACCCTACGCACCCCCTGTGGTGTGGAGAAAGTGCCACGCTTGCCACGCCCTGCGACCCTGGGACGGATACAGCGCGGTGAGGGACCACCACCTGCGCACCCCCTGTGGCGCCGAGAAAGTGCCACGCCTGCCACACCCCGCGACCCTGGGACGGATAGAGACCATGGAGAGGGACCACCCCTTACGCACCCCTTGTGGTGTGGAGAAAATGCCACGCCTGCCACGCGCCACGACCCTGGGACGGATAGAGACGAGGAATGGGGACCACACCCTACGCACCCCCTGTAGTGTGGAGAAATTGCCGCACCTGCCACGCCCCGTGGTTCGGAACCACACTCTACGCACCCCCTGCGGCGTGGAGAAAGTTCCACGTTTGCCACGCCCTGCGACCCTGGGACGGATCGACACCGCGGTGAGGGACCATCCCATGCGCAACCCCCGTGGCGTGGAGAGAGTGTCACGCCTGCGGTGAGGGACCACCCCCTGCGCACCCTTTGGGGCGTGGAGAAAGTGCCACGCCTGCCACGCCCCGCGACCCTGGGTCGGGTAGGAACCGCGGTGGGGGACCGCCCACCGCGCACCCCCTGTGGTGTGGAGAAAGTGCCACGCTTGCCACGCCCCGCGACCCTGGGGAGGCTAGACACCGTGGTGAGGGACCACCCCCATGTGCACCACCCGTGTCGTGTAGAAAGTGCCACGCCTGCCACGCCCCGCGACCCTGGGACGGATAGATGCCGCGGTGAGGAACTACCCCCTGCGCACCCCCTGCGGTATGGAGAAAATGCCACGTCTGCCACGCCACGCGACCCTGGGACGCACAGAGACTGCGATGAGGGACCCCCCCCTGCGCACCCCCTGTGGCGTAGAGAGCATGCCACGCCCGCCGCGCCTCGCGACCCTGGGGAGGGGGGAGGAGGGGGAAGAGGGATGGGGGGTTGGAGGAAGAGGGAAAAGCAGCACATGGGGGAAGCGGAGAAGGAGGGAGGAAACTGCGAGGAGGGAGAAGGAGGGACGGAAGGACGGGGGAGGGCGGGAGGAGCAGGCGGTGGCGCGGGCGGATGTTTTGTTTCTCTCCTGTTGGGGCTCCGGGGGCTCCTCCAGGGGGACCTGCCTCCCTCGCGCTCTCTCCTCCTTCCTCCCTCCCCCCCTTCTTCGAACCCCACCGCCCCTGCCTCTCTCCGCCCCCGGTCCTCGCCCTCCCACCCTCGCTCTGGCCATGAGGTGCCTCTCGTCGTGCCCCAATCTGCCTCGTCCTGCCTCGTCGTGCCGTGCCTCGTTTGTCGAGCTGCCTCCCTTCTGCCAGTGCCCTGGCGTCTTGGCCCGTTTCCGTGGTGGGCACCCGCAGGGGCTCCCAGTTTTGGGGCAGAGGAGACCTGATCGAACCAGCCTGTTTCTCCTTTCGCCCCGTGGCCCCCGCGACATTTCAGGCAGGCGCGCGAGTGCGCAGGATAATCGATGAACGGGCAACCGTCTACCAGCTGGAGCAGTGCAAAATCCAGTTGCGCCGCCACCAGCGTTGAGCGTGCCAGTGGCGTCTCCAGCTGGAGACCCGCGTTTCGTGTGGGACCCGCGCCTGCTGCACAGCGCGAGCAGGAACGTGAGCGCGACGCCGCGGTCGGTGCTCAAGTTTCGGGTCTGCCAGACGGGCTGCTCCTCCTCCTCCTCCTCCTCCTCCTCCTCTCCTCCTCCTCCTGCTCCTGCTCCTCCTCCTCCTCATCCTCATCCTCATCCCCCCCCCCCTCCTCCACCTCCCTCCTCCAGCAAGAATTCTGCTTGCGCGCCTCTGTCTTCATCTCTCTACCGTCGTTCTTTCCTCGTCTTCGCCAGGTCGTGCAGTAGCGACTTCAGTGGAGACGTGATGCGTAAGGTTCAGTTGGGCATGTCCCTCTACAGGAGGAATGTCCCTCTACAGGAGTAAAAAACGATCTGGGGGCAATCTTTCTACTGGTTTATTTATTTTGGTGTATTTGCTTGACAATGTTAATTCTTCTTCTAAGCTCCGCCTATAGGAGGATATGCCCGACCTAAGCGCAAGGTGTTGGGGTAATCACCAGACCTGGTTTGCAACCACCCTCCCCTGCCAGCCGAGCCTCGCCCAGCTTGCAGGCGGTCTGCCGTACCTTTCTGGCACCTCCTTGCTGTTTTGCACTCAGGCCCTGCCCTCGACGCCACTGCCGGTCGCGGCCAGAAGACCAGTCGGGATGGTGCCCGGGAGCGATCCGTGCGCCATTTTCGGCCAGGCCCGAGCACGCAGGAGAAGAGAGTTCTACCGTCGGGGTTGATCAGTAGGTCGACCCTGCAAAATCAAGGGTGTTTTTGTGTCCTGTGTTTTGCGACCCATGCCTTTTACATTGCTATGGACATTTGGCCCTCGGGAGGGTCTTGTGTCCTCTCGCGTGTCCTCCCCAATGGACCTCGACTGTACCGTATGGACCAGCATCTTGCGAGATTCGTTGCGATGGGACGATGGGCATTCATCTCAACGTTCGGGCTTGAGCATCAGTTCGAGCCTCTTGCTCGTAGGTGCAGACTGTAGTCGGTCAGGTCAAGGTGGGCCGAGGGCCAGTTGCAGTTTTCTTCAGTGCAAGCATGTTCTCACAGTTCAGCTGCTCGTTGGTTCGGTATAGCATCCAGTCGGGCATGTCCCTCTACAGGAGGAATATTCAAAAATAGTGAAAATAGCCTGGGGACGATTGTTCGTTTATTTTTTGACTATTTTTGGATTGTTTTGGAGTGTTTTTTGTGTTTCGTCCAAAATCTGCCTGTAGGGGATATGCTTGACCTAAGTAAGTACAGCTGCACTGGCACCGCAATGGGGCCCCACGGTACATTTGCATTCATGTACATATGCATATATCATGCCCGATACCATTCCGCCCCTCACTCTGGCTTGTAATGTGATCGTGGCAATTGGGGTAGCGTGCGCTTGCGCGCGGTCGTGTAGACGATGAGCAATGTCGCAATGCTACATTGTATGTTGGTCGAGTAGCGCGCGCGTTCGTTTTAGATTCAAGAACTCGGCGCTACTATATCACGCGCGCGTGATTTGGAACACATAAACACGCCGGGGCGTGATTTGTTGAGAAATCGTGGCCGCGTCCTTATAATATGGTAATGTCTATTGACGAACTGGTGCCAGTCTCAAGGGAAATCGCTAACTGTGACGTTTTTGTTGTGTTTCTATAACATTTATTTCGCGCGTTTTACATCATGCTCGCACGATTATAACTGACATGCGTGATTATAGTTGGCATCGATGGCGGTCGGGGGTCTCCGAACAACGCCGGCAATCGCCAGAAAAAAACGATCCCGAGGCCTGGGACCTGGAACCAATTACAGAGAACCTCGAGGCTAAGCTGCCCTTGTCAGATTTAGCCCCTACGGATGCTCGTGTGCGACAGGAGGCTGACGATCCTGAAGGACATTGTCCATCCTGGCTCGAAGATCCTCTTTTGGGGCCTGCTTGTCGCCAGACGCGGCCGCGCCCGAAGAGGCAGAGGCACTTTCACAACGCCCCAGCTCCAGCACGGGCGGTTTCCGCGCTTGGCTCTCCAGCAGCTTCACCATCGCCGGCGTGGGCCGCGCCAGACTCGCCTTTCCGCTTCTTCGCGGCTAGGCGCACACGATGTGTTTCATGCGATTCGCGATGTTGGCGAGCGTGGTCTGCCACCTCAGCGAGCAGGTCTTTCGCGAGCTCGTTGACGCCAGAGGCCAGCTCTTCAGTGCGCTTCTGGAACTCGTCCTGGTCGCCCTGATCTCCGCGTCGGGCCCGAAATCGTCGACCATTTGGGTGCAATCGATGATCTGCGCGAAATCGAACTTGCCAGAAACCATGCCCTCCCGCTTGCACGTCAGGCCGAGATTCGGCAGACTCCACCTTGGCCGACATCTTAATTTTCCACGAGAGACCTCTTGCAGGCCGGCCCCGCAGCCGAACTTGCCGCGCGCAGCCACGTGGCGAATCTTCAGCTTCCGTGAGCTGTTCACGTAGCCGAACCACGCGCGACAAAGAGCTCTTCAATCTGTCTCTCCAGCTTTCGAACATTAGCAACTCAGGAGGGGAAAAAACACACAGACACAATTAATGGTCGATTCCCCCGAAAATATGTGAAAATATGGGAAGTGGGGGGGAAGACAAAAACCCGGAAAATATGGGAAAATATGGGGAATCTTTTTATTTGTGTGTATTTATTTGTGTGTCCTGGGGCCCCTTCAGCAACTGCCTGCTGCATCTTGGTGTGAGCCAGAGCTTGAACGGGAACAGCTGTCACTTCGAGGTGCGCGCCATGTCGAGACAACGGCTTGCCGCTGCCTTACCCCCTGCATCCTGAAACGACTCACCGAACACCCTGGGCCTCCTTGGCGGAGATGATGGGGACTCGGCCCGCAGGAAATGGCGGGGTGCTTCCCCAAGTTTCGTCAGCACGCCCAGCTCTACCTAGCATAGTAGGACTCCACTGTGAGACACCGTCACTGTACCAGCCTTTACCCTTGCCTTTGCCACTGAAGCCGTTGCCTGCGAAGCCGCCCTTGCCGTAGTGCAGCCAGTTGACTGCGGGAGCTCCCATGCTTTCAGCCTGCTTGCCACCATTGCTTTGTCCATGCCAGCATCCTGGCGGAGAGACGACAGCAGAGCAGCAGCCACCCACAGTAGGATCAGGGAGAGCAGCGGCAGGCAGGCGTGGCAGCGAGCACGAGCAACCCTTGCACCAAATGGTTTCGCGATGCTTTAGCCTGCAACCGCACGCTGGACACGCCATGCCAGAGGCCTTGGGTTTGCCTTTCCTGATTCCTTTCCGTGATCCACCCAGGCTCGCCTTGGGTGTCATCCTTCGCATACAGGGTTGATGCGAGAAATGGGAAACTTCTTCTCCTCCTCCTCCTCCTCCTCCTCCTCCTCCTCCTCCTCCTCCTCCTCCTCCTCCTCCTCCTCTCTCCTCCTCCTCTCTCCTCGGCCGCGGGGCGCCCTGGTCGCATGGTATAAGTGCTTGAGTGGTGAGTGTGTGAGTGTGGTTCTGACAGAGATTGTGGGGCAGCGCATGGCGGAAACTATGATTCCCCCACCCTGGACATAGCGCCAAATCATCGTGACGATGAACGCCAGGACATGGTCCAGTCCAACGGTTGCCGAGGCATGCGTCTGGCGCTGCGTTTTGATAGGCACGCTGGGCGGGTGGCGCCGAGCCGCTCGAGTGGGTGAGGCGTGTTTATCACGAGCGAGCATTGACACATGCTTCTCCGAGTGGGGCGCAGGGGCTGTCGTCGAAGAGCTGGGTTTTTCCATACAACCAGCTGCGCCCAGAGCGCGTCTTTATGTGTGCGAGCTCAGCTCGGCTCAGCCTGGCTTGACTTACGCGAAGCGAAGCGTGGCTTGGTTCAGCGCAGTGCGGTTTGGGACGTGCCCGACCCTACCTTCGCCATGGTTTGCTTAGATCGGCGCGGCATGGCTTGTATTAGTGGAACTTGGCTGCGCTGAGCCGACGCGGCGCCGCTGAATTGTGCGAGCTTTGGTGTAGCTTAGCCGGTACTGGCGTAACGTAACGTAGCGTAGCCAAGCTTAAGTAGCGTTGCTCTGATAAGCCAAACTTAACAGGGTTGCTCACGTTGCCTCAGCGTAGTTTTACTGAAGTTTAGCTCCGCTTTGCTGCCCCTCCCCCCCACGCCCCAGAAAAGAGCTCTTTGGGGCTCTCGTGGAGCCGTTCGGGAGTTTTGCTGGACATATCTCTTGTTGTGCAGAGGAGTTCATCATTCACGTTAGCGCAGCTGTCAACATCCATAGCCGAAGGTCAAGCTGAGCTGCTGGCGCCAACAGCAACTTGGGCTGGCTGCGGGGAGAGCCGCTGGTGAGCTCGGCCAGCGCCTGGAAAAGAGCCTTTCCAATTCCTTGCCTCTTGGGGTATGCATGATTCGTTGTGAGCTCCATGCTCCCTTCCTCCTGCCTCCCCTACCGCTTATTCGGCACATCAATGTTTCAATACGCCCTCCCACCCACCCCTCAATCAACATCTTATTTGTTTCGCTCACTCCGAGCTGCCGTCAGGGCAGCAGCGCTGTTCAAGTCATCATGGGCAGTCGCGCTGGTTTGAGACGGCGGAATCTTGATCAACTACTTGCCCCGGCTTCCATGATTAATTTCATTTGGGACAGTGTCCTGGCTACCCAGCCCTCTTCGTGACGAACGAACAGCACACACCCATACCCATCGGGGGGCCGTTGGGAGGAGGACTAGCTATGGGTATGAGTGCGGGTTGTCGGACCCTGGGGGACGCTTCCGTTCGAGCGCGCACCCATAGCGCTCTGCGATCCCCCGAAGGGTATGTGTGTGTGTGTGTGTTGTTCTAGGGGGACGAAGAATGGCATAAGCATAACAACTCGGAGGTCCGCTCGGATTTCTCGGATCCGCGCTAGAACAACGCGCACACACACACCGATGGGTATGGGGTGTGTGTGTTGTTCGTTCGTCATGTTGAACTCTTCCGCACTGCGACGTGACATGACGTCACGCTTGGCCAGAGCCAGCGGCGCCCCCGGCGCCCCACGGGGAAGCAAGGGTCTCCTTGTCGTCCTATTCTTCGCTTCGGCATGGGCCTGCCTGCCACAGTCAGAGCCAGGCATCGCTCGGCGAGTCTTGCGAAGGCCTTGCGGCTTGGTGCCGCCGACCCTGAAGACGGGACCCAGAGATCCAGCGTTTTTTTTTTTTTTTGTTGTTGTTTTTGTTGTTGTTTTTTTTTGTGTGCTTTTTATTTTATTATATATATAATAAAAAAAAAAGAAACATCAAGACGGAGTTGTTTTGCCGTTTTCGGCCTCTAGAGGCCCTCGTCGGGTCCTGGGATCGTCAAATAACGACTCGGGATGACAAACCGGTCCTGGGGAATGGGTCGAGGCTTCCGGGGACCCCGTATTGAAAAAAGCACGACGTAGGATCTCTGGGAACCTCCCACAGGAAACCCCGCTGGCGACGTCCCCCCAAGACCCCCAGGACCCAGGACCCCGGGGGGCGGTGTTCTAACCCATGACCCCCCTCCATAACCCCCCCACCCCCCCGCAAGGAAGGGCAAGGGGGAAGGGGCTTCCATTCGACTCAACTACGACGTTTCTCAATTTCCTGTGTTCCTCAATTTCCTTGGGACCGGCGACGACGGTGACAATGACGAGCTAAACAGCACAGCATCTCGCATACGTTGATAGGGTCGGCAGATTTCCCGTCGAGCTGCTTCCGCGCTGCAGCGACGCGGCGCGTGGGCGTTCTCACCGCGCCCCCGGGCGCGACGCGCCAGACACCGTGCATGATTGGCAGCGGCGAGAACGTCTGCGGTGGTCAGAAGCTCGCCCCGACGCCGAGTCGGCGGATTCTGCAGGAATGCCTATTGACTGCATCATAGAAGCAGGTTTGCATCAGTTGTATACTGTGTCTCGCGAATCCTGCGCGTTCTGGGGCGAGCCCACGGCCTGGAGCTTGGATGTCGGATGCTACCTGGCAGTGAGGGCATGAAGATGATGGGGAGGAGAAGAAGAAGGATGAGAACGAGGAGTAGGGGCAGGGTGCGGGAACACCCTCAGTCTGGGTAGCGAGCGAGCGACCACTGTGATGGGCCCATTTTTCACAACGACCATTACCATAGGTAGGAGGAGGAGAAGGAGAAGGAGGAGGAGGAGGAGGAGGAGGAGGAGCACCTCCTCGTCCTCCCTTCTCCCCCGTCCTACATCTGGTAGCGGCGGTGTGAAATCTGCCCATCGCCCTGTGCTTCCACCGCCGCCGCTGCCGCCACGGCCACCCGCTGCCCAGAGGCCGCGGCCCCAGACCCCCGACGTCATGATTTTTTATGACGTCGACCCCCAGAGGTCTGAACCCTTCCCCGGCACCGGCTTCCTCATCCCAAGTCGTTTTTTGACGGCCCCGAGGCCCGGTGGGGGACCCCCGAGGCCGAACATAGCGAGAAACCTCCCGTCGCGATTTTTTCACAGCGCCCCCTCCGCGGCCGCGCCCCCTCGCTGCCTCCGCGGTACCGCCGCCGCCGCCGCCGCTGCCCGCCATACGACGAGGCCCGCTGCCCACGGCTTCGCGCCGTTTCCGCCGCCGCCTGCCGCCGCCTGCCGCCGGGCGCCGCCGCCTGCCGCCCAGACGTCGGGCTATGTAAACGTATATGTATCTATATATATATATATATGTGAGTACAGACATATACACATACACATATACATACATATGTATGTATATGCACACTGATATATATATATATATATAGATATATATAGAGGTATATGTGCATATACACATGTACATATATGCATACACATCATATGCATATGTTTGTTTCGATGTATATACATATTATATACATACCTGTATATAGCTGTATATATATATATATATATAAATGTATATATAGATATATACAGATGTATAGATATGCTGCCGTCTCGCTGCTGCGTCCCTGGAGGTCCCCAGGCCTCCCCGCGCCGTGAACGTAGCACGGCGGGGAGCTTTTCGCTTTCGGCCTCGGAGGTTTCTCCCACTTCTCGGCCTCGGGGGGCCTTCACTGGCCCCAGGAGCGTCAAATTATTCATTGCGTGGATCTCCCCAGATGTGCATCTATTCGCATAGGCCTGTCCGCCGTGAATGTCTAGGCGCAAGAGCTTTCGAATATAAACGGGCTTCAGTTGTGACGGTCTGGTCATGAAGCTAACTGAGAATGAATTTGAGTATGAATGAGCCTCAGTAGTACGAGCGCGTCTCTGCGCATGAGCCTGGGTCCTCCTGGGGCCTCCTGGGGCCTCCTGAAACCTACTGTGGCTTCCTGGGGCCTCCAGGAGCCTCTTGGTGCCTCCTGGGACCTCCTAGGGAGGATTCGTGCCCCAGGAGAGGCCCAATCTATAGCAACAGACGTACATAAAACATTGCGGAGTGGAGCCACATGAGAAAGGGGCAATCTATAAGAACACACGTAAAACACCAAGTACTCGTCCCCCAGGAGAGGCCTTATAGGAACAGAAGTACACAGGAGAAGGACAATCTATAGAAACATACGTATAACATCAAGGATTCGTGCTCCAGGTGAGGCCCAATCTATAGGAGCATACGTAAAACACACGGGATTGGAGCCACTCCTGTTGCCTTCTGAGGCCTCCTGCTCCTGGGGCCTCTCGGGGCCTCCTGTTGCCTTCCGAGGCCTCCTGGCGCTTCCTCTGGCCTCCCGGGGCCTCCTGTGGCTTCCTGAGGCCTCCCGGAGCTTCCTGGGGCCTCCTAGAGCCTCTTGGGACATCCTGTGGCCTCTTGATTTCTGTGGCCTCCTGATGCCGCCTGGAGCCTCATGTGGTCTCCTGGGGCCTCCTGGAGCCTGTTGGAGCCTCCTGTGGCATCCTGAGGAGAATCTGTGCCCACGAGTCTGGCCACCGATCGAGACATCCTCAAAATCTGGCCCACCTGGGGGGTGAAAATGAGCGCCTCGCTCGAGACATCCTCCAAATCTGCTCCGAAAGCGAAGGATGTTGGGACAGAAACAGGCAAACCGCTTAAGACATCCCCACAAAACGGCCGCGAACGGGACCGTGAGATAACCCCTCGGCGGCTCCCCTTAGGGGGGTGAAAATGAGCGCCAGGCTCGAGACATCCTCCAAATCTGCTCCGAAAGCGAAGGATGCTGGGACAGAAAACAGGCAAACCGCTTAATACATCCCCACAAAACGGCCGCGAACGGGACCGTGAGATAACCCCTCGGCGGCTCCCCTTAGGGGGGTGACAATGAGCGCCTCGCTCGAGACATCTTCCAAATCTGCTCCGAAAGCGAAGGATGTTGGGACAGAAAACAAGCAAACCGCTTAAGACATCCCCACAAAACGGCCGCGAACGGGACCGTGAGATAACTCTTGGCGGCTCCCCTAGGGGGGTGAAAATGAGCGCCTCGCTCGAGACATCCTCCAACTCTGCTCCGAAAGCGAATGATGTTGGGACAGAACATAGGCAAACCGCTTAAGACATCCCCACAAAACGGCCGCGAACGGGACCGTGAGATAACCCTTGGCGGCTCCCCTTAGGGGTGTGACAATGAGCGCCTCGCTCGAGACATCTTCCAAATCTGCTCCGAAAGCGAAGTATGTTGGGACAGAAAACAGGCAAACCGCTTGAGACATCCCCACAACACGGCCGCGAACGGGGCGTGCGTGAGTCTCAGCATGAGTAAGTCTGAGTAGGAGCAGCTCTGAGTATGAGTAGGTCTGAGTATGAGTAATTTTGTGTGTGAGTAAGTCTGGGTATGAGTAAGTCTGAGTAAGAGTCAGTCTGTGTATGAGTAAAACTGGGTATGAGGAGGAGAGTGAGGAGGAGAGGGGAGGAGAAGGAGAAGAAGGATGGGAAGTCGGCGAACGAACGAACGAAGAGCCGTGCACGTCAGGGGTGCGTTGGCAAATAAGTGAAACAGCAAGTTCCGCTGTCGGAGGCGCGGCTGCGAATCAAGAAGACGCCGCGCAGACACCGACAGCGACGACGGCGGCGGCGAAGGGGGGGAGAACGACGAGGGGGAGGAGGACGAAGGCGAGGAGGAGGGCGAGGAGGAAACAGCACTGGCAGGCTCACTGCTCACGCTGTTTCAGCCCATGTGAGTGGCTCTCCCACCACCCCGTAAGCAGAGACAGTCCACTCTACATTCAGACAAACCATCCATATCTGCTGAATGCTACAGCTGCGAAGAGAAGCGCCTTGCGACTCCGCGCCAGTCTCCAGGTCTGTGCCGCCACAGCTCCGCCAAGGCGTCTCGGCCACCGGCCGCTGCGCAGGCGAAGTCAAACACATTGCGTTTCCATGTGTTCCTCGGTCTGCCCCGCCTCCGGGGCCCGAAAGGGCGGGCTAGGATGAACGACCCTGGTTGGAATACCGTTCGTCGCGTGACATTGTCTTCCGGTAGACAAGCGATTTTTCCAATCAGCTCGAGCTGCTTGC